TGTTAACATGTGCTATCGCAACCCTTTCCTGTGTTAACATGTGCTATTGCAACCCTTTCCTGTGTTAACACGTGCTATCACACACCCTTTCCTGTGTTGACACGTGCTATCGCACACCCTTTCTTGAAACTAACGTCTAAAAACTGGATGAGGAAAAAGTTCCCTTGAAAAAGCTTGACATGATGAAAAAGCAGACATCGCTGGTGAACTAGCAGTGGCTGTGGAGAAACTGTGCGGGAACAAACTCCACACCAGCTATCCAGTGTGCACTGCACGCTTTGCTGGAAGTTTTCTTAGCCACAGTCTCTACCTCAAATCTTTTTACGTGTCTTGCTTCAGTCCTGACATCTTTACCCTCAAATCTTAACTGACTGTTGTCCTATTTGAAGACTTCTTTGGCCCAACTTTCAACCAAAGCTGCAAAAGGACATTCGTTCTAAGTGTTCCTTCACGCTACCGCAGAACAGTGAACATTCTGGAGATTTTACCTGAGGCTCTAGTCTGAACATTCTGTAATGAAGATTCATAGTCATAGTCTGGTGCTCAGCATTTATCTAGGAGGAACTCAGCGTTTGCTCACAGAATTAACAAATGGAGTCTGGAGCTTACTTTAACACTGATCAGAGGAAGCACAGGGCTCCTTAAATTGCACTTCTTTCTGGGCCTCGGTTGCTCCATCTATCAAACGAAGTTACATTTGCATGATATTTTAAGGTCTTGTTGCTATCCAATTCTTTGGCAGGACTCTTAAGTAGGCTATACTGTACTGACATGGTGGGGTGCTGATGGAAAAGGGTTGGGGACAGGCAGCACTGGAGAAGCACAGGCAGATCATAAGCATCCCATCTGCAGAAGAGAAACCAAACCTGCCAGTTTCTCTCACCATATCTTCCTTTTATAGTTCATAAGTGCTGGCAGGAAAAAATTATCCAAAGCAGGCAGAAGTGAAAATTCAGTAAAAAGGTCCTGTTTGGGAAGACCCAAGAATACCAATTTTTCCTTTTTTTTCTTCACCCATTTTAGTTTTATATGCCTTAGCTTTAAATTTTTAATTGTTTATAGTATAAGCTAAAAATACACATTAAGGATTGCTCTGATTATTTAGTTTCTACTACAATAAAAAAACTAGAGAAAATGAACAATTATTGGAAAGAATAATTCAGGTGTTTTTGTGAATGCTGGAAAATTTTTTCTATGTAATTCTTCAAAAATGCAAAACCAAGAATACAGAGTCATGAACAAAAGCCAAGAAGATACAGTTCACATGTATGTGAAGTCAGAATGGTTATGATTTGATAATTTGTTAATTTTATCTCCCATTCAGAAACATTCAATTTATGGCTTTGATTTTTCTAGAGTTTCTATGAGATTTTATTACATATATGGACCTTACTCTCTCATTTCCCATTCTTCCAAATCACAGCAAGGTAGTACAAGGGCATCTGGCTGCAGCCTGGGCAGTAGCCCCACATCTGAACTGACTCCACGTGAAACAATCCCAAGATGATGACAACGCTAGCTACCATTTGTGAGTGTCCACGGTAATGGTTCTTTAAGGGATTTTGGAAGCGCCAACTCATGTCATTCTTCTGAGTACACTGTGAGGTAGGCATTACTCCATTGTGTAAAGAATAATGTTAAAGGGAGACACCGCTTAGCAGAGATGGCAAATTAGCCCCCCCCCCCACCCCAGCGAAATCCTGCTTCTAAACTTTAGGCTTACTACTTTCCCAAACGCAGAAGGAAGCACCGTATGTGTTTTGGAGGGTTGGTACACACAAGAATGAATACGGCACAGAATGGAAGGTGAGGACAGAGGTCTTGGGAATACTGAGGATTAGAAAGAAAACGGAGAAGGGGCAGTTACAAGCAGGAAAGAAACGAGGCAAAGTTAGCTTTCAGTAAGCCAGGACAGTGTTTCAAAGAAAAGGCGACCTGCAGGGCAAGCAGGTAACATGAAGACAGAAAAGTATGCTACATTAAATGACAGGTTATTTGTGGTTTGCTATGAATTGCTTCAGATGGCAAAACCAGATTAGAGTAATCTAAGATGTATAAAAAACAGAAGTGAACAAAGAACATGGGTTACACTAAAAATTCCAGTTCTAATGGGAAGAAGTCACAACACATTGAAGAGGTAGTAATTTAACCTGGGTGTGGTGGGACATGAATTTGAGAAAAGATGCTAATTTCTCTAAAGAAGCTTGGACTACTCTCTAAGCACTCATTGTTGGTAATCTTGGGAAAGTACTCAATCCAAACATCAATCCCCTCGCCTGCAAATGGGAACACCTCGCTTATAAGCACACACAAGGCAATGCAGGAAGAAACCTCACACTAAGTGCTCCAAACAACAATACCCTACCAGTCATCACTATTATGGAAACTAGAACACAGGTAGGGAAGCTGTCCGTGGTGAAGAAGGGACCCTGAGGGGAGGCCACAACAGAACAGGCATTAGGTGGTGGGGTGGGGTGAGGAGGGAAGGGGTGCAGAGTTTCTTACTGGTGACCTATGTGGTTGAGAAGAGTGAAGCAAGGCAGTCTGTGGAGGACGGGCTAGTAGGATGGGGCTTGTGGAGGCTTCACCAGGAGACATTGATGAACAGCCCCCGAGACACTTCCTCAGTGGGCACAGCTTAGCACGGAAGTCTCCAAATCTCCCAGCTCTATGATTTCTCCAGAAGGCTTTGTGTAGTAGACAGAGATTTTCTCTAGTCTGAGCTTATGGGCAGGTGTGGTGAAAGAGTAAAAGGCCACCAGTTATTTTAGGCATTTACTAGAATGGCTGAAGGGATGAAGTGATGGGATGTGTTCTGTCTGCATGTACACCTGCAACCAGAAGAAGACACCAGATCCCATTACAGATGGTTGTGAGTCACCATGTGGTTGCTGGGAATTGAACTCAAGACCTCTGGAAGAACAGCCAGGGCTCTTAACTTCTGAGCCATCTCTCCAGTCCGATGGATATGTTCTTGACTCGACATAGGAATATGAAAGCAAGAAGTATGGCATTTTTAGAGCATATAAGGACCAAGGGATTAGATTTCTTGATGAAGTGAAGTTGAAGGAGCACGTACTAAAAAAGTAACTGTGAGAAAAATAGTTGCATTTAAGCCCTCACAGGTCAGCACAAAGGCAGAACATTAGATGTGCACTTAGAATGAAATCATCACAACGACCAAAAACTATGAGATCTTAAGTGACACAAGGTGGGAGTATTGACGAGCTGCAGGATGAGACTAGGACGGTTTCAGACAAGTAATTATTGAACCAAGATGTGAAAGACAAGCAGGGGTCGGCCACAGTACAGAGGAGAGAGTGGATTCTGGGCTAACAGCATGAGCAAACTCAAGCACAAAAAGGCAGAGACTGGGAAGCTGTGGTTGATAAGGTTGTTGAGAAGGGTACCCAAGTCAGATGCAACCAAACATCAGGAACACAGTCAGTTTAGCCAATGAAAACAGCAAATAAATCAGGAGTTACAGCATCTGGAACATATAGTGCAGTTAAATCCGGGATTTAGTAAAAACATTAGTACTGTACCTTTGAACGGAATGTTGGATGAACAAAATAAACAGCCTTCAAATTCCTCTTGTATCTAATCAAAACAGATAAATAGTCATCATAAGTCATACCTAGAAGTACTCATTACTTTTACCTGAGTAAATAAATAAATATATTAACACAGAGAAAAATACCTTAGAAGCAGCAGGAGTTAATAATATCTTGAATTTGGGATAATAAAGAGAACATTTCATTATTTAAACTGCCTATTTTAAAGGAAGCACTAAATGCTTCCCCTCACTGTGACAGAGCTACCTTAAGGAAGGATAAAATCAATTCGTACTTTCAAAACATCATTGCACATTATTTTCTATATCATGATAGAGTCTCTGAGCTCAAATATGAAGTTAAGTCACTCTGAAATTACTAACATTATAGCAAACATTAGGGACTAAAAGTTACAGTCATGTTACAAGTGACTGCACGACTCAGAAATTCTCTGAAGGCTTTGTCCTCAATCTTCTCAATAGCTCCGAGGAGAGGACCAGCATGGCCTCTACTTTAATACTCTGTGAGCTGATGACCAAGAGGCAATGCCTAGAACCCAACCTGGGCCTCAGCCAGGTACTTGTCGAAGTTTGTTGAGGTATGTCTTGTTCGGTTTTCAGTAATTTAATAATCACCACCAAGACAATTGAGGTTAACTGTAAAGGACGTCAGACAAACAGCGGGAGCACTATTTTAGCTCAGGGTTGTGTCATTTGAAGGGCTAGTTAGTGGCAGAAGTAGGTACAGAGTGAAGTGTAGCTTCATTACAAAATACTTCAAAGCACAAATAGGAGTCTGTTAGGTAATGCAAGCATTAGTATTCCTAATTAAGATGAGGTTTAATGGATGGCGGAAGACAATGGAAACTTATGGTAACTTATCCTCTTTGCTCCCTAACTGTAAAATGGTTTTTCAACCTAACCGATAAAAGCATTGTGATGCAACAAATAAAATAGGTACCAAGAGAGTAGAATGTCTTCTTATTATTATTATTATTTAGGAAATAAATCACTGAGGAAAAAAGTTTGGTCTTGCATTGGGGTGGTCATTAGAATTTCCATTATTATAGTAAGGGAACATAATTTAATGAAAATATTTTTTCAAGTCAGTAATCTAGTAAATCTAAATTCTTTATATAAAATTGTGACATCTTGGCCAACAAATGCCACTTTTTTTTTTTATTATTCTCCATCTTCCAGATGTATAAAACATTGAAAGATAACAGGATACTCAACAGTAAAGACACAGGCTCCTATGCCCTTGATCCATAAAGCCTGTCACACCCAGTTTCTCTCCTCCCTGTACTAATGTATGGAATGTGTTTGTCCCTCAACCCCTTGTCATAAGGAAAACCTCACCAGGTACAGGGTAAAGTTAGAATGTCTCCAGAGACAAACTGGTCCCTGCTCTTACCTTACATGGAGGTAGGGGATCCACTTAAACCACAAGGAAGAAATGTCAAAATAAAGTCTGTTTTCATGACTAACCAACCCCAAATCCCCAAGAACCTCATAAATGCTTGCTCCTTTCTGTCAGTAGACAGACTAAACCCCCAAGTTCTTTCCTTTTGCTCAGCCTCTTCTCGCTCCGATGAAAACCTCTGCCTGCTCGTTTATGTTCACTTTCAGGTATTCATAATCAAGGAGACAAATTCCTCTGAACCTGCTACCAGTATCTCTCCCAACAGACTCTCGGGCTACTGGATCAAGTAAAATAATGCTTACGAGTCTACTCTGGTATACATTATGCTATGGTGATAGCAACCAAGGCTGTATTTCATTATTTTATGCACAAAGACTAGGTATGGCACCAAACTTCTTCCAAAGTGGTCAAAAGTGGGAAGATTACAAACAAGTTCAGTTTCATGCAAAAGGAGGGTCTCCCATAATTTAAGTATCTAATGTACATGATAAAAATTTGTCCCGTGAAATATCCTTTCAAAAATCTTTATAAATGGTTGCTACTGCTTAGTGTTAAAAATAAAGAAGCAATACCCCCTTCACAATTTCCAAAAATAACTAACTTGACATCAACGACATCGTAGAGTTTCTTCAAGAAGTCGGAGTCCAGGTGATTGTATTCACTGGTCAGTGTGTGAAAATAGACCAGGACATACTCCTTCACAGCGATGTGGTCCATTACATGGATAAAATATAAGAGAGCCTAAAAGAGAGGAATAAAGACGATTTTTCTCAGTGGTTCACTTCACAGAGGCTGAGAGAGCGGAAACCCCTCCCCTAAGATTGACCTTATCTGCACCTGTAATTGCAGATAGAAAGAACAGATTGGTGAGGACCACTTCTCTTAGAAACTGAGTCATCCAGCATTTACTGGTTGTTCTCAAAGGCTGTAGCACAGACCTTCTCTATGGTGTTCTGCATGAAGGAAGAGGATAATTAACCTCTGGCCTTTGGAATGACTCTTCAATACCAGGAAGAGCTCTTGGCTCAACTATCAGGTTTCTCCTATCTAGGACAATGATGTCAAAACATTTAGAATGAAGATTTAATACTTCTTATGATTTTAATAGAATCCATAATTCTTATGTTTCTCTTTGCATCCCATCAACAGTGACCAGACACAGACAAGGAGTAGAGCACATGGTGTACGGAGCATCTCCCTCCATGTCCCCTTAGGAACCCATTCGCTTAGCACCTTTAATGCTTATCTGAATGAGGAGAGTGGAGGGGCTTGTGGGTGGATGGCAAAACACATTGAGCAACATTTCTAGAACTCAAGAGGATGATCTAATATGAACCTGTTTGGCTAGGGATGTATTCTATTTTAAGAAATCTAAGAGAGACACTAAAAACAAGATGAGAAATATAACCCAAGCAGGGCTGAAGTGACCCAGAGGTTTGGCTGTAAACAACTGCAAAGAGGAAGCTAAGCTACATCAACCAAAAGGATTACCGACCAGGCTGTTTTCCAGTTCCTCCTCAGGGGAGTCCTTGGCATTAATGTGGATTAGGACCCAACTGCAGGCACAGCAGGTAGAGGAGGACATGAACACAGTTGCTTGGCAAATGTTACCTGGTTTGAACCTCATAATAAGTCTCATTTTTTAATATGAAATGACATATCATAGTATCAGGAATGCTATGTGAGCACACACCAAAATCAAATTAAGGATTACATTCTTATTGGAATAAATCTTACTACTGACGGTAAGAGTGAAGGACACACTGACTGTTAAGAACACCAGTGGCTGCAAACAGAAACTTAGGACGCAATTCTTACCAGGTGAGCCTTTCCCTCTCTGTGAACAGACCCACCCTGATCGCCCTACTCTTCCTCTCACTGGACTACCGCTTTGTCCTTTCAATCCGTTCTTTAACCTCACACTTGGGCAAATTAGGCGACTCTTTTTGGCTTTAAATCCTCTATCTTTAAGTTATTCTACTGCTGTACAGGAGTAGCCAAAAAGATAAAGTTGTGGGGGACAAATTCTCCTCAAAATAAGGAAATAAAATAAAAAAACTTCTATTTTATTTGAAACTGCATGTGTGTGTATCTGTGAGTGCACACCACAATGCACAGGGATGCACAGAGGCATCATTCCCTGAAGCTGGAGTTGTAGGCAATTGTGGGCCACCCAATATGGATGCTGCAAATCAAGGTCTATAAAAAGTCATACCCATTCCTGAGCCATCTCTGCAGCCCCAAACAAATCCAGTTTGAAACATTTACTTCCACCTTTAACCTAACTATTAGAATCTTCTATGGACACACCTCTCCTCTCTACTGCACTCACCTCAGCCTCTCCCTCTCCCGTCCTCCATGCTAGAGACGGAACCCAGGGCCCAGTGGACACTAGACAAGCACTGCACTCTGAGCCGAATCCCCAGCCTCTCAGAATCATCGTTTCCATTTGTGCCTACCCCATCATCAGCTATTGGACATCTAAGTTACAACATTTCTCTGTGGAGGACCCTGTAGGACACTGGCTCACTGCTTTCACATATTCACCCCAATACTGCTGGCAAAAGTCTGAGAGCTTAGACATTCTTGGCAGCTTCTGAATAACTATGTTTCACCTTACAATTATATGGATTTCCCTTTTATATACGTTGTGCTTTCTGGGGTGAAGACACATGGCCCAACTATAACTCGTTTTTCCTAGTTATTTTCTAACGGAATTAATGCTTTGGGGAAATATGTATAGAAATGTTTTAATAGAATATCTTATCTATTCTTTGGTAATTTCATTCACGAACACAGTGTATCATATCTACTCTCCCCCCATTCTGGGCACCCCAACATGGCCTGCCCCCCCACTTCATGCCCCTTTCCTTTTGTAACAGAGCACTGAGCTCAGTTAGTGCCGCCTGCTGACTGCAGAGCTCTCTTCAGCTCACGGTCCGACTGTCCTCCCGTGAGTGCTCCACCTTCAGCACTCAGGATTCAGAAGCACTTGTCCCAAGCGAGTGTGTTCTCAGTACATCTCAGGACAGAGTCACTGGGTCGATGAATACAGCTTTTAGACTTTCATTCACCTCTAGTGACAATACCTCTTTACAAGTTCTCACTAATTCTCAGAATTAAAAAAAAATCACATTTTGAATTGCTTTTTTTTATTACTTCCTTTTATTTAACAGTTTCAACTATGTTTTTTTCCTTTAGGACCATCTACTTCTGTTCTCCGCCCCCACATGAAGGGATGATAGAATTACACTACCTTGCTATCTTGTACAAAGCACACCTCTGGTTTATTCTAAGTAGATACTCAAATGTTAATTTTTCTTTTTTTTTCTTTTCCAAAGAAATTGAAGTTTGATTGTATGCTTACAACACAGGATGCTTCTAACCAAAAGCTTGCCAGCTACACCTTATCCAAACAAAACAGCTCCATTTTTGGAGTAATATCAGAGCTTTCTGGTATCTGTTTTCCCTACAGAGGACAAGCAACCCCTACCTTACCAGAAATGATGCATACCAAGTCTCAGGGGATGCTATTCCACCCCAGATCCACAATTCATCTCGTCTGTGCTGGAGAACCTTCTCCCTGCACCATCTACCTGACTTGCAGAAGCCGCCATGGCTTACCTTGTCCATATCTATCAGCGTCACAGGGATGTTTCTTCCAACCACCACCATCACCGTGCGGCCACAGTTATCCACACCTAAGAGAGGAGGTGCAGTCAGGACCCAGAAACCTTAGTGCAAGACCAGCGTTTGTCCCGTCAAATAACATGTATTTGACTGCATAAAAGAATTCTGCACATACAAAAGAAATGGGAAGCACAAACTTCTAAAATTATATTATTAGATTTCTGTTAGTGTTAGAGAAACACTTTTCTTTCTTGATTTTAAAGCTTTATGAGATTTTGACCACAGTTCTGACTTTAAGATTGTTTAAATATTTTAAATTACCATAACCTATAATTTTTTAAATAACTATTTTGTTATTTAAAACATATTGTTAAGCTCTGCACAACATATTATTATTCACAATATTATTCACAATAATAATTAGTAACCAAGAAACGCTAGAAGCTCTCAATTGAAAATTAATAGATAATGCCTAGAACGAAACACAGCAGAGGACTTGGGGCCAGGGGAGGGCTATGAGCTGTTCTGACAAATGCTTAGGATTCTTTAGAAGCAGAAAAATTCTAACAGAAAAAGCATCCCAGAAAAAGGTGAAGCAGGCAATGTGAGACCCAAGAAAACATTATAGGTTAACAATAAGTCTAAGATCCTCGTGATATGCAAAATCTATTGATATCAGCACAACACACTGTGTTCAGAGAGAAACCGAGTCTTTCCAGCACAATGAGTCAGACCCCTCAATTAGCAAGAATGAGATCATTAACCTCACCTGTTTGGTACAAGGCCTTCAGAGAAGCAATATCAGACAGGTCCTCAGATCTTGCTTGGCATAACCAGCGGTTATAACTAGACAAATAAAAGGTACAATCGTTACAGCAAGCGTTGGCAGGTTACCTTTGCAAATGGAGCCCCTTTTTACAGCTTTTGCTGACTATAAAGAACTGAGGCTTCATTTCAACAAAGAGTTAGAGGCTACTGTACTGTGGAGAACCTTAAGTTATTGTTAAATGCACATTAATGAGAAAGTGTGTATACACCAATCACCGAAAAAAACTCTTATGGTAAGTCAAGAGTACACAGGTAAGTGGCAAAGATGTCAAATATTCAAAATGACATAATTAAAGAATACTCTTATTTTTCCTTACTAGAAAAATGTTAACAGGAAAAGCCGCAGTGTTAGATCTCCAAATAACCACTAATTAACAAAGCTATGATGAGTGCTGAGACTATTACAGCAAACAGACAGCAGGATCGCTGCCCCCACGAAGGCACAGCACAGCAGAAAGACATTAAGTGCTGCACATGTTATACAGGACCACAAGCAAGGCGAGAAGCTTTATCTGGCAACTGGGACATTTATGACTGGCTAATGACGCTTGAATCGAACCCCTACTTACTATGACACATGGACTAATTTGGATTTGGCGAAAAGGAGGTTACAAATTATTTTAATGATCAAGTTAATATTTCAGGGTTTTGGTTTTTTTCTTGAGATGGCCTCACTCTATTATGTAGCCTCCGCTGACTGGAACTCACTATGTAGACAAGGATACCCTCAACATTAGAGATCGGCCTGATTCTGCCTCCTGGATGCTAGGATGAAATGTGTGCCACCACACTCTGTTCAAGTTAATTTTAATAGCTAATTCACCAGAAGACTCACAACTGCCTGGAACTCTAGAGATCTGATGCCATCTTCTGGTCTTTGCAGGGACTTGCACATACATATACATACACATAGATATACACATAAATTTCAAAAAAAGTATTTTTAGGTATAGAAGATATCTATAACGTCTATAAATTTTAATTTTTTAAAAGTTCTTAAATCCGCCTAAAATTAATTTTGGTTCATGGTGTAAACTCAAGAACTGCATAAATGTCCATCTTGTTAAGTTTGGTCAGTGGTTAATAATTTGAGATCATTCCAGGGATAGATTTTAACAGGCAAAATTTAAATATATGGACTTTTGTAGAGTTTATAGTTTACATTCACGATTTGTACAAGATTCCAATCACTGCTATGATCTTGGTGCTGTTCTGACTTGTGCAGACCGTAAGGTACATTTCAGCGCAGGAACTCCAGACTGTGGCTTCCCCACAGCAGAAGCTATCACACGTACCGCCTTGCTCACTAGAAGTGCTTTCCATCCAGCTTCTTGAAGAATCGTTTATATTCCCACAGATATTCCCACTCAACACTTCCCTCTGTTTTCTGTGTATTATTATAATAAAAACAAACAACCTTCTATTCCAACCCCCAAATCAAAGGCTAAAAATAGTCCCTACAGCTGATTTCAATGAATAAATTCTTACTATGTGCCAGGCAAACCATAACCATCAAGTACAAACAGATAGTAAAGCAAGTTGTGACGGCAGAGAAGCCACTCAACTCAGCCACTAGGCTGCTCCTAAAGAAAGAAATACTGAGTTGTTGTCCAGTGGGTACAACTGATTGAGGTTACATACTGTCTCCACGTAGACCAATTTCTTCAGTTAATCAATTACCATACACCTACACAGCCAAAGGCTGAACAATGAAGAATATTTAAACAAAATTACTCTTGAAAACACAGGGCCTTCATGGGTCTGCACCAGGTCCTCTACGTGGTATGTCTGGTGTTAGCTTGGAGCCTTGTGGGACTCCTAACTGTGGGGACGGGTATATCTTTGACTCTTCTGCCTACTCTTGGGGCCTCTTTTCCTCCTATTGGGTTGCCCTGTCCAGACTTGATATGAGGGGCTTTTGCCTTGTCTTTTTGTATCTTGCTTTGTCCTGTTTGGCTGTTGTCTCTTGGAGGCCAGCTCTTTTCTGAAGAGCAGGAGTGGATCTGGGGGAGAGAGAAAGTGGCAGGGAGCTGGGAGAAGTAGAGAGAGAGGAGACTGTGGCTGGGAGGTATTGTATGAGAGAAAAATCTATTTTTAATAAAAATCAATTAATTAGTTAATTTAAAAAGTTCAATAACTAACCTACTTAGAAAAAAGCCCATTTTTCAAGAGACAATTCACCCTGGAGTCAAGGTTTTCTAGACCTATAGTAAATGCTGTGCCCTACACTACACTCTTTTGTATCCTGCTTCACCAGGTTCACTATAAAAAAAGTTGAACATTTTCTTGTGTGCAGGGCACTAAGCTCTGCAAGGGCAGAAGTTGTATCTGTCTTGCTTGCCTCTGCGTTGCTATATGTACTCTAGCACATGACTATGTCAGCAAAAGTTGAATAATACTTAATAATTAATGAAATGATGCCTTAGTGTGACAAGTGATATTAGCATCATAGGTAACAGGATGTTAAATATAACAAGGACCACTAATGAAAGGAAACGAAATATTCTAGTGAAATAATCTTTTCCCCTTGTGTCTCAGTGTCTTTTTTCCCACTGTAACAATGACTTTCAAAAGTTGTAACTGAAAAGTTGCTAGGTTGCTTCCTAACAACTTCCTTAGAGATATCCAAATCACTCACAATGCACCAAACACTTAGATGCATTAGTGAAGAATTAGGGCTGTGTCTGTGTTCTCAGATTTTGTAAACCAGTGCACAGAAACTGACGCGGCACCGCAGGGCAGAGAAAGGACACTGAGGACCCAGTGATGGACAGCTGGAGTCTTTCAAAAGGACTACCAATCAATCACACTTTAACACCCTTCGTTCTGATCAACGCAAGGGGAACTGGGTAAGCATGGTAAGTAAGACCCTGGTTCAGGAGAAGCATAAGTACATCTTTCTAAATGCTATCCTGACATCTCCAGCATGGAAGGACACCGACTTCCAGATCTGCCATATCATAACTCAACAATCATAAGTTCTAAACTGTTTGGTCTAAGAACCCCTTCATGTTCGTATCTACCAATATTCATCGTATCGTATATAACAGAAATCTTAAAGAAATTACTTATTTGATTTAAAAGAAACAAAAATTAATTATCTGAATATACCTTTTGATGTAAAAAAAAAATAAGGCTGGGTGGTGGTGGCGGCGCATGCCTTTAATTTCCACACTCGGGAGGCAGAGGTGGGTGGATCTCTGTGAGTTCAAAGTCACCCTGGTCTACAAGAGCTAGTTCCAGGACAGCTAGGGCTGTTACACAGAGAAACCCTGTCTTGAAACCCCCCCCCCCCAAAAAATGAAACAAAATAACAACAACAACAAAAACTGTGCTTAGGAAGACAACTATCCTCCTAACTTCCCCCATGCTCTAGCCTGCACTGATCTCTGTAACATCCCAGGTTAAGGAGCCCAGGGAACTGGACTGGACACCGTGGGAATGAGGAAGAGGCGGCAGTGACAAAGTGAAGCCAGTCTGGCCTCACAGGCTCCCGAAGGGCACCAGGCTTCCTGGGCCACACTTTTGAGAGGCGTCATTTCCACTATTTCAGCAGGATAAGCAGAAGACATGTACCTTGGGAAGCTTCTGTGTCAGTTCTTACACAATTACAGCCACACAAAGCCCTCCTTTAACCTTTCTCTCTCACAGTGCTGTAAGAAAAAAAGCAGCTGAACTGAACCCCACACCAATCACAAACAGCTAAGTAGCTGGCTCATAGGCAAACCCGACAAATAGCTCTTGGTAAGCTGAGGACATCACCATCACCATTCCCACCTCCAGTCTCTCTGGACGTCTAGTTGAGTGCTGCCTACCCACGAATGTCACTAGGCTCAGATGAGCTGTCAAATTTATTTTGTCTACAGTTTTTCATTTAGTAGCACTCTTAAGTATTCTGCATTACAGACCTCACCTACAATCTCACACATAAATGGGAAGCCAGACAATCTTTTCATTCAGCGATAGCTTTACTGGATGGCAGAGTGCTGCGGGAGAATGCTCTTGTATACTGTAAAGATTTGCCACTCATAGTGGTTTAATAAAACGCTGATTGGCCAGTAGCCAGGCAGGAAGTATAGGCAGGGCAACCAGACTAGGAGAATTCTGGGAAGAGGAAAGGCAGAGAGGCTAGTCACCAGCCAGAAGAAGAGGAAGCAAGATAAGAATGCCTCACTGAGAAAATGTACCAAACCACGTGGCTAAACACAGACAAGAATTATGGGTTAATTTAAGTTGTAAGAGCCAGTTAATAATAAGCCTGAGCTGATAGGCCAAACAGTTTATAATTAATATAAGCATTTGTGTTTCTTTGGGACTGAATAGCTGCAGGACTGGCCAAGATAGAAACTTCTGTCTATATCAGAACACTCAGTCCTTGTTTTCCTGCTGTGGCTTTGCTGCCCCTAAGTGATAACTGGATGTGCCCAACACCCTGATCATTGCTCAGAACTTCTGCCTTAATGTACTTAGTACCTCTGACAGTCAATGTGTGGCTCATTCTGATTTTCAGAACTATCTTACTCATGCCTGCATTCAGGACATGTTCTTACAGAGTGAGTGTCTACAGTCTGCCATGTTTGACTCTCCACATCAAGGCCTTCCACCAGGAAAGGGTACTGCTTTATGTGCTGTCTATATTTCCTTTCCTGGAACCTGCCCTTTTCCTGAGAGTAACATACCAGAAATGCATACTCAGTACATATATGCTCAATTTAATACTGTCCTGAACTAGTGATTGACAAGCGAAACAAATCGACTGCCGTAGAAAACTGAGATAAACAACTAGCTTGGAAGAAAAAAAAAGTGCAGAATCTGTCATTTCACGAACTATGAAGGGTTAATGGACTTGAGGGGAGGCAGGGGGAAGAAAGGGGGAGAGAGATAGATAAAGAATGCATGGCACATGTGTAGTAGTCAAGAGAACAACTTGAAGAAGATCTCCCCTTCTACCGTATGGAATCCAGGCATCAAACTTAGAGAGCCAGACTTGGCATGAGCACCTTTACCCACTGAGCCATGTTGCCAGTCCCCATTGCTCTTCATGGGACATCATTTTTTACTTTAAAAGCTTACAGGCAGAGAAACTATGGCCATTTAACCTGAATTGTTTTCTTTAAGATGAATAAAATGATCTTGTCTTGGCAAGAAAAATAACCAGCAAGACTAACTTACCGCCAATGATAAAATCTGAGCCCAATATGCATTCCATACACTCAACTATGGAAAGTCTATATCTTGACTTTTTTTAATTCTTTTTTTTTTTATGTGGCAGGGTCTCATTATATAGTCCTAGCCATACTGAAACTCAAGAGATTCCACCTACCTCTGCCTCCTGGGATTTAAGGCATGTGTCACCAGGCCCAGCTGGGAAGCTTGGCTTTTTGCAGTGAGATTGGTGCTGGAATTAATACACTTTGATACTGTACAATGAAGCATATTGATACAGTTATCTGAGTGAACCCCTACTTTCCAGAGGATCTATGTATCATATCATAAAGCCACACTCATGATAAGACAATGTATTTTAAAACAGAATATGGAAACACAGATGTGGGGCTGGAGATGGTACAGAGAGCCAGGACACTGTCTCTGGGTCTGGCAACAAGAGTTTGATCCCCAGACCCATATGGCAAAAGTAGAGAATTCCTCAAGTTATCCTTTGACCTCTGCATGCTGTGGTGGGCGGGCGAGACACACACACGCAGAGGCATGCATGTAAGCATACACATGCACACCCACATGAATGCAGATGTAAGTAAATAAAAGAAATCACAATGGGTAAGGTTTAAGATTTTCTAATCTGCCGCTCAGGCACCTTCAGAAACTATCACTTATCAGAGTCTATAAAGCGCACAGAAACATATCTGATTTCTTAAAAGTCTTTAAAAGTACTCCTTTGCTTTCCAATTCTGTCTTTGTGTAATATCATATTTACTTCACAAAATTTATCCAAGAAAACTTACTGCAACAGTTTGAATGATGCTATTAGATTCTAGTCATCTTCACTTAAACCCACTGAACATTTTGCAAGATTTTAATACAAAAGACAAAATTAGCTACCTTTTGAAAACAGTGATTGTTTACTTATGAATGGATTAATAATTTACAATATGGTAAGTGTTGATAGATATAGCCCATGTGGATACAAGCCCTCTGGGATCTTCAACCATTCATAAGAGTGCAAGGGGATTTGAGATCCACAAACAACTCACAAATCATGATATGAACATTTGAAGAATGCAGACACAGAAAGAGAGATCACAATGGTGTGCAAGGGAGCCCTGTCACTGTATTTAAAGAAAAATGTTTGCCACATGATACTACACATGACCAGGTTGAGAAACTAGAGCCTGTCATTGGGTTCATCCCTTGGAAAATTTGTTCACTGGTTCCCTCTAGTGGTAAATTTGCTTCTGTTATTTGCAAATTGGAGTCAAGTGAAGGCCTAGGACTGAGGAGGCAGAAAATGTTAATTCTGGCTAGGGGAGAGAAGGCCATTTCTTTCAGAGGTATTGCATGGGTAAGTAGCCCAGGCATCAGTAAATATTCTTCCTCCCAAGCTCACAGAGGCAACCCTAATTAAATTCGGCGGGCTACAAAACAAGCCACGAAAGAGGACTCACTGGGAAGAAGTTTGAGTGAGATTGAGAAGAGGATGAGAGAGGGTAACCAGAGGTGAGAATCATAAAAATACATCATAGAGATGTATGAAACTCTCAAAGAAATAAAAATATTAAAAATATGTTTGTAAGAGATTTCTGAGATCATCTAGCCCAACCTGCATGCTATGGCTGGAGAATGGCACCACAGAAGTACCATATAAAATAGGATGCTATGTTGTGGCAGGCTGTATAAGGAAATAATACGCAAAATAAGAAAGGCAGGTATTTCAGACCCAGCAAATAAGGTTTGAGTGGCCTTTGCTTTACAGCTGAAACCTGGAAAATGGAAAGGATTGAAGGAAGAGATGATCCAAATCAAAATAAGTGGGAGCCAAAGCTCAAAAATACGACAGAGACTGGTTAGCTTAGTACTGAAAAAAGCCACAGCGATGGACTTTACAGCGGTGGCCTTCCAGGTGCCCCTCTGCACGCATCGCAATGTCCTGACACTAGTCTGTGAGACGCTATCCTGACCCACACTAAGAGGGAATGGAGAGCCAGTACGATTCATTTCTTTCTTTAAAATTTTGAAAAGTAGCTAGCTTTACTATTAATCTTTGAAAAAAAAACCACAAAATACAAAGCTCCATCTGTGATTTTATAAGGAGTCATGCAGACTGTGTTAGTATTAGAAACTCTTGGGGAGAACAATGTAAAGGTCCTCGGGGTAGGCTGGGGAGACGTAAAACTCTTCAGCCAGAGAAAACTTTAACTGCTTCAGTGGTAAACGCACAACAGAAACCTTGTAAATGCCTTTCCTTTCTTCTAACTTCCCTGTTTAGACTATAACCTCACATAGAGGCACAACAATTAGAGACACACTGGGTAGAAACTCTGAAATCGAGCATGAATCTGAGCACCAGCTCCCCCAAACTACCTGACTCAACTTTCAGCTCTGCATCTGCAGAATGAGACCTGGACCCTATTACTGGGTCAGCACGAAGATTAAACAAGAGGAACTTTGTGTGTACAGAAAAGCATCTCGCAGACTTCTGACTTCACACTGTCTGTCTGGACTAGTGTGCCTTACTTTCTTTGATGCTGCTTCTGCAGGGCAGCTTCGGACAACTGTCCCTGGAGGATCAGTTTTCTTTGCTTGTCAATATCTCCTTCCATTCGAGCAAAAGCATGAGAGCCAATGAAAGACAGATCCACGCCCAAGCCGTCATCCTCATCTTCTTCTTGGTTCTCTGCAACGAAAGCAGCATCAGCGGAGAACACGGAAGCAGACCATAAAACTGACAACGAGTGCTGTGTGAGGCGACAACAACAAAGCCAAAAAGCCTCGAACCCGGGCTAAGATGATGATTCTGAAATAACATTTAGAAACCCCAAGTCCTGAAACAGCGAATTAAACATAACTAATCTATTCCCTAAGCCAACTTCATGATCAGGCCAGGCACGAAGTGTGTGAGGCATGCTTTCATCCAGGGGATTTAGGGTCTTACACAGGTGAAGGTTGAGAGAAGCTTCTTATAGAATAGAGTCGGAAGGGCTCCCATCCTAACATACTCTGTGTATAACTTTCAGCTTACCTGAGTATAAAATCTAAAGAAATGACGTGGCTACAGCATTCTTATCTTGTTATTTAATGTTAACGGAGGCTTTTTGAGGACACTGTTTTGGCTGTTCTGGAACTCACGAGACCTGCGTGCCTCTGCCTCTCGAGCGCTGGGAGTAAAGCACTGTTAAAACTGAGCACACCAGAAAATTTAAGGTGGTAATATGCTCAGTTATTGCTTCAACACGTCTTCATGAGCCTAGGGACTCCATTCAGCTGAGCATGCTGTTATGACCACCTGTGAATCCCCACATACAAGCCTACATCCTGGCTGGCTGCTGTTTTACCAGTACCCTAGCTTCCTGAAGAGAAAAATTAAGAAAAGTGAAAGCTGAACCATTATACATTGTTGGTGGGAATATATATTTGTGCGGCCACTCTGAAAATCACAATGAAAGTTCCGCAAAAAGCTAAAAACAGAACTATCACATGACTCAACCTTATCATCCCTGGAGGTAAACCCCAAAGAATTGCTAACTGGCATACCAGAGACACCTGCTCATCCATGTTATTACTTTACCATTCACGACAGTCCAGATACAGGGCCGGCCTAGATAGGTGTAGGGATGAATGGGTAAAGTGTGACACCCACCCACTCCCACCCCACCACACATACACTCAGTTTATTCAGCCATAAACAATGAGAAAATTGTGATGCTCAGAAAAAAGGATGGAACTAGAGACCATTAGGTTAGCAAAATAAGCCAGGTGCCAAGAGACACTTATTACATGGACTTTCCTCCTGTGTGGAATCAGGATTTTATAAAGATGTAACATGAAAGTGTGTGGGTGAGTACTTCGAGAGAAGGGACCAGCAGGAGAACAGAGAGAGGAATGAAAATAATGAAGAAAATACCATATCTGTATGAAAACGTCATAAGGAAACTCATAATTTGTATGCTAATTAAAGAAAAGAAGGAAGCCAGAATTCTAGCACTCACCCTCGGAAGCACCAGGTTTCTCACTTATTCTGATCTGCCGCTCAGGCACCACAGGCTCGCCTTCTGCATTCCCGATGTCTGCAGGCAGGCACGGCAGTGACTGGCTCTCCTCCTTTAACGACCTTGGGAAGTACAGAGGTAGCAGCTTTTGGTAAGTAGCCTGTGTCAGAAAAGTAAGGCATTCTGTGAAAAACAGCGCCACGGGAAAGCAGCCTGAGCAGTGGTTACTGTGGTCCACACGCTGTGGGGCAGACCGGAGAGTGCAGGCCTCACCTCTCTCTGCTCAGAACTCACCAAAAGCAATGCCCACCCTGGTCGGGGTCACCACATCTGGGATGTGGAAGTCTGCCAGTCCTGTTCACACGCCCACCTTTTTACTGCTCTCTCAGCTGCACAGATGCTAGCTGCTCACGTTTAGTACACGAGTTTTAGGTCTCTATTTGCTCAAGTTTAGTACTCAAGTTTTAGGTCTCTATTTGACCTAGGTTTGGTTTTTCAATTTTCTTTAAACAAACAAACAAAAACTGTTCTAACTATATCTAAAGGATTGATATTTTTCACTCATTCTTAGAAATTTTGAAAAAAGATAAATTTTACTTTGGAAAAAGAAACAAGTAGCTTCTCAGATGGCTTCATAGATAAGGGCCCCCAAGTCTAATGACCCAAGTTTGACTCCTGTGACCTACGTGGTGAAGAAGAGTCTGAAGGTCATCTTCTGATGTCCACACACACATTCCCCCAGCCTCTTCCAAAATAAAATACATACATAAGCCTAATTTTAAAAAATTAGGAAGGCAATGGAGGTGGGAAATGAATAAAAACAAAATATAGCAACATATGATATGAAGATGATGAAACCCCTCACTTTGTATGCTAACCTAAACACTGACCAATAACTTCAGGGTGCTAAACTAAGAAATGAGCAGGGTTCCTGTCTTACGATCTCCATGTGCGGTCCCCGTGCTCTTTCCCAGCACCGAGCAAACGCAGGCGCTGCTAGCGCACACGCTTGATGAAGCACTCTGCCTCTCCTGCAGCCTAGGAACTACTGTGTCGCTACTCAGCATTACTTATCAACTATCCCAGACTTCACGGGCTAAAGAGACGGTCAGAGCTTATGAATGCTTGCAGCTCTTCCCGGGGACCCACGTTCCATTCTCAGCACCCACACCAGGCAGCTCACAACCATCTCTAACTCTAGTTCCGGGGGCTCCAACACTTTCTCCTAGTCTCCATGGATATCTACACTCGAATGTACATAAACTCACGTAAGTACACCTCCATACACATAAATATAAAATACAATGGATAAATCTTTTAAAAAGGACTAAAAGAATGATAACAAAAAGTCATGGAATCGAATACTGGTCAGTGAAATCATTCAAGAAATCAGTATTATACACACAACTACAACATTTCCTAAAGAGAAGCCTGAAGACATTAGATTTGTACCAAAAAAAAAAAAAAAAAGATAGGCCGGGTGTGGTGGCACATGCCCTTAATCCTCAGCCTTGGGAGGCAGAGATAGGCAAACCTTTGTGAGTTTGAGGCTAGTTTGGTCTATATAGTGACTTCCAGGCCAACCAGGGCTATAAAGAGAGACCTTGTCTCAAAGCAAAGCAAAACAAAACAAAAAACAAATTTAAAAAAGAAAACAGAAACAAGTAAACAAATGTAGACAGGGTCAGCATCAGGCTCAGCTTCTCAGTGTGCTTTGCTATGCAGGCCTGGCCACCCCTAGCGCTAACAGGAGCAGCAGGCAGAACTGCCCGCCTATGCCATTCCACTTATGAAGACAACAGCTAAGCAGTAAAATTGTGACTCAAACTCTCCTTAGATTGGTGGTGCATGCCTGTATTCCAGAACCTGAGGCAGAGGCAGGGAAACTGAGAGTCAGTAAGCCTGGTTCACATGGTCAAACAGTGTAGGATGCTTCTACACTTGTTTTTAGAGTCCATCATAATTCTTTTTCCCTGAGTGAGCATTAAGTTCCACTGCCACGAATTTATTTAAATCATTACAATTGTGAGCTTCAGATTCAGGGAACAGATGATGACAGATGAAGGTAACACAAGTAGAATTAAGACTCAAATTAAGCAAAATAATTAGTAAAATACCTCTTCGAGTTCAGAGACAGCAAATACTACTTTTTCAATGGTTTCCCCATGGATCTCTAGGAACCGCCTCACAGTACCTAAGGAAGAAAATGGGAAGACATTCAGTGTAAAAACCCAGCTATGTTAACTCTGTAATGGGGCCCCCTTCACTTCCTCAGCCACAGCTAAATTATCCCCATCAGAAAAGCCTGCTACACCTCCTCTCAGAGCCTGATGCACTTCCCTTCAGGGTGGCTGTAGCAGACACTGTTCAGGTCCCTTTGGGGCATGTCCTCTCTGTTCTCAGCCTTCCACTCGCCCTAAAGTGCCATGGCAGGAGCTTTACTGCATTTGCTGCTCTAGTCCTACTGTCTGTGACAGCAGGTGGCCACAGAAGATGTTGAGTCAGACTACTGTCCCTTTTCCAGCACGTTCTTTATTTCCCTGGGGCCTCCCTTTGGCCAGAACGACCTAGCGCAAATGGGAAGCACAGTGCCTTTCTGCTCATCAGGTACAGCCTTAGATGAGCCACTCAGCCCATTCCCACTCACAAAGTTGAGTGCTCTCTCTCTCTCTCTCTCTCTCTCTCTCCCATCTCTCTCTCTGAGACAGGGTTTCTCTGTGTAGTTGTGGCTGTCCTGGAATTCACTCTGTAGTACAGGCTGGCCTTGAACTCACAGAGATCTGCCTACCTCTGCCCTCCAAGTACTGGGATTAAAGGTGTGCACCACCACCAATCAGCAGGTTATTTTTTCTTAATCTCTATCCCATCCTGATTTTTCTCCATTGAGACCCAATGGCCCAATCTTAAGTATCCCTGGCTTTGGTCCTTTATGCCCATGCACCGCCTTCTAAAGCTGCCCACATTTTTTTGTTTTCTTGATGTACATATTCTCCATAGCTCACCAACTTGTTAATTAAATTTAACTTCAAATGCTGATGGTTCCCAAATCGTACAATCTTTCTGAATTAAAGAACGGAAGTGTTTACTGCTTACTGAGCATATTTACCTAGATAATCACAGAGACCTCAAATTCAGTGAGTCTACCTCCTACCCTCTTCCTATATCCCTTACTTGGGTGACACACAAACAGTCAAGCAGTCACTCAAATCAGAATCCTTGATTTGCTTTCTTTCAAAAAGTATTGATTTTATGCATATGAGCATTTGCCTGCATGCATTATATATCTACCACCTATGAGCATGGTACCCCAAAAGACAAGAAGTAGGTGTGGGATCCCCTAAAACTGGAGTTACAGATGGTTGTGATCTGCCATGTAGCTGTTAGGAACTGAAACCAGGTCCTCTTCAAAAGTAGCAAGTGCTTTTAGCCTCTGAGCCATCTCTCCAGCTTCACAATTTAAAAAAATTATATATTTACTATGTGTGTACACCATGGTGCACAGCTCAGAGGACAACTTTCAGGAGTTAGTTCTGTCCTTCTGGCATGTGGCTTCCAGGGTTAACCTCAGGTCATCAGGCTTGCTGAGCTATTCACTGGCCCCCGGATTTCCTTTGGTATTCCCCTTTTCTTCGCCTTCAGTCCACATTGTCAAGCGGTTTCCATGTATGATCCTGTAAGTCTACTGCTGGCATTTCCAGTAGCCATCCTTCACTTGCAGCCTTCAAGCTCTTAATGCTTTTGGCAATAAACTCTGAACTGGTCTCTGTTCCTTTCATTTCCAAGACTGCAACTTCTGCTACTGGGCAATCTTCTTACGAAACCTTCCTTAGTAGACACTTGCAATGGGGCTGCAACCCTTTTAAGTTAAGGTTCAAAGTTCCTACATGACTTGCCACACTGTCACAACTAACCGCCTCCTAAGTCCTACTTCTAATTGCTCCTCCCACATATCTTCGACTGTCACCTAAGTTCTATGATGTCCTATCTGCTGGTAGGTTAGTTCTGACCAAAATACATTGTTATCCACTCTTTTCTTTTCTGAATCCCTGATTATTTTTCAAGGTCCTGCCATAAGTCATCTTTGTGTAGAATTCCTCCCTTCCCAGAATTCCTCTATACAGAATCTCCTGCACTCCTACACTTGGTTCAAGTTCAATGAAGGAGTTCTCAAGTTTACAATAGGTTTAATGAGCTATATGGTACCATGGTAAGTGGGAAAGCTTCTGTGATATTCTGAGCATCTTTCTATCTGTAAACTAGATTGTGGACCTATTTAGTCCAAGTATATCCTATATTAATATTATATTAACTGAAGTCTAGTAGAACATGAAGACCTGAACTTATTCAAAATTGATAATTCGTGGCCTTAGGTAATGCAGTCCACGAATCTAGTACAGTAGACTCATTTGCTGAGAGCAGAATAAAGATCTGCAACTCTGCTGCTGCTAGGTGCAAGTCTGTTTCCACTCTTCCTTCCACTCTGCTTTCATTCCTTTCCCTTAAAACAGCTTCCATAAAGGGGTGTTATTTCATACTACTTATATTACCTAAAATTTTGACACTCATATGGAATTGTACTGTAACATAGTACTGTATCTTTCCTATAGAAGGGGAAATGAGAAGCAGTAATCAAATCAAATCCTCACAATGGTGCTCATTCAGAAGGAGAATCCTGCCAGGAAAAAGAACGACACTGACCTCATGACCCAAGGATTCCTCATGTCATCCTACACTGTTCCTTTTAGTTGCATCTGTGCACTCTTCTTGGCAACCAAACAGGATGTCACACGCTTTATATTTACAAAGATGCCTTAACTAGTGAAAGTGACATCCAGGATGCTAATACCTCCAATGTGGGGGGGGGGGCGTGGAAGATAAGTACAAACAGCGGGGGCTTCTATTCTTACCGCTGCAGAGCAGTAACTCAAATTCTTGTTGAATAAATAACCTAGTAATTTTTCTTCAATGTTGATGTTTATGGTTTCTCAAAGGATTTAATTGTACATGAACTAGGGGAAAAAAGATGCTATAAAAAGTTTGGTATACTGATTAAGACGATATTGGGTTTTTGTATAAAGTTTTGCTGATTAATAAGGAAGAAAGTTCTTGATTTGGAAGATGAATTATGTTAACAGATTAATTCTTAGTATGCTTACAATGTAAATGTTTACAAGACATTCATTTTCTTCATATTCCAGAAAGTATACTATTGTCTCTGTATTTGTTCTGAAAATGATACTCTATAATTTTACTACATTTAAGGTCTACAAACAACGGTCCTTATACCATTTGACTTGGTCACTTTTAAGACGTATATGCTTCCTTTATGCCAGTTACATTCCTAGAAGTTGTTTCATTGAAGACCCACCTTCCCGCTACTGACCATTATCTGTTATTGTGAATTACTCTTAAGACTGCGGTGGGGACTGAGGTATTACCAGGAAGTAAAGCTACACTTTGGACCATTTACCCAGGACAATGTACATAGAGATTTCACATAATAGTATTTAAGGAGGGTGTGCAGATGCTGTATCAGTGTTCCTAGTGACGAGAACCTCACTAGAACAGTTCCACCTCAAAGGAACCAAAGCTCCTCCCTTGTAACGGCTGCAGTAGAATGCTTTCCTACCACCTTTATCCCCTTTCCAGGGATCTGTAAAGTTCTCAGAGTAGCTTTAAAGTCTGTATTTCTCAACACTGTTTTAGATAAGGCATTAGGGCATTCTTTTGATGGATGCACAATGTAGATTATGATGATACTCCAACCCCTGCAAAGAACCATTTCAAAAAATGTACTGCAGGTCCCTTTAGAGTTTTTCAGGCATTTCAAGATGGGTATCATATCTGCAAAAAAGCATACCACTGATGTTTTAAGTGACTTGTCCTCGTCTGTCAATGTCTTTTGAGCTGTGACCTAAAATGTATGGAGTACACTGAGGTCCTGGACTCTCGAGCTGAGTATTAGATTTTATTTCTGGGAACTGAACCTAGAGACCCATACATCCTAAGCACACACTCTACCACTGACCTATACCCTGAGCCCAACACTATATATCACTGTGGGTCAGCTTGGGCTCAGTGATTTTTAAATCTAAACACACAGTTTTATACTAAAGAGACCTTGTGAAAGGTTCTGTCTAAATAGAAAAATGCTATGCAAATATATTATGAATTCGCTTTTGCTGCATTTTTACAAATGTTAAGACTGTTCTTATTTTGATTCAACTGTATTTTGTATCATTTTCAAACCTAATGAGCAAGTCTTGTAATCCTTTATGCACAGGTATAAATTACACCATCTTAAGAAATTCAATTAAGAACTCTGCAATCTACCAATGCAAATCTCTCAGAATGCCACGATGCTCATCAAATCAATGGGTCTTCTTTGGTTATAATTTTATCTAATAATTAAAAACTGTAAGCACTTGACTTCCGTGTGGCACTGCAGCATTACTTACGAAGTGCAATGTGTGTTGCGTCTTCTAGAGGATAACCTCGCTTGGCGGAATTGATGACACAGAAGCCAACAGAAGACATGGACTGTTCTCTGCAATCAGATAGAAAACCCAAAAGTTGTACACTATCCATAGGTGATCTCAAAACACAAGCCAGCATCTCCCACCAATAAATTTACAAGCTAACTCAACTGTATTATTTGATAATTAAATTAATGTAAAATTTAATCATACTCGTTGAGAGATAATATCTGAGCCCTTCAAAGTTTGATTTCCACAGAGAGTTTTCATCTTTAACAAAGCGTGGGGGAACAGGCCGTACTTTGCCAGCTGAAGCACGTTCCTGTAGCAGCTGTACAGGGAACTCTCTGCTGCGGTGCGGTAGCGGCTTTTATACTTAGGTCCCACGGTGTGAATGATGAACCGAGCAGCTAGGTTAAAGCCTTTTGTCAATTTTGCTTCACCTGTTCGGCAACCTGGGAACAACGGGAACACATAAAAGCTTGTAAATATCAGGTAAACACCAATATGCAAAGTACAGAACAAGAACGGATCAAGAACTACGAGGAATGTCATTTAAAAATAGGACTGAATATAAGCACCCCGTCTGCTCCTTCTGTTCTCGTGGCAGTGAAGCAGGACAGCAGATGGAAACACAAGAAGGTCGGGAAGATGCAAAGCAGAGAAGTATCACCAGGGTTTGCAAGGGGAAAGTTAATGGACCACGGGTAACAGGATCAGCAAAGGAGAGGAGCCCAACAGCCTGCAAACAATATGAGGCTGACTGTACTGAAGGGCGGAGTCAGATTTAAAGCCGACTGCTTTATTTAAGTACCGAGTCTAAAGTGTTCATGTGTGAACTCTGGGTATGTTCAGAGTGCTTCGAATTCCTCCTTAAGGGGGACGCTGGCCTTATAAGATTAAATGAATTAAACTATGCAAAGTACACACATGTAGCATTGGTTATTGTGATTTCATGGAGAAAACTAAAAAGACTTCGAATTACTTCTCAGACTATGCTATGCTATGCTCAGACTATGAAGCAAAGGCTGGGGTTGCAGGTGTATACAGTCAATCAAAACCACAACAACCCTTTCTTGAGCCAGCGCAGCAAGTTAGGATTTCTTTACCACTGACACAACAGAACAAGAGGTTATTCTCTGAAGATGTTGAATAAGAAGTTTCTGAAATCCAGAACCCCAGGACAACTGAAAAGAGGGGATGCAGTTACATGTTAAAGTTGTCAGGAAAAGGTCTAGCTGCCTGACACCATCAGTTGTCCAACATGGATGTTACAGAGCAAATGTTTGCACGCCCCTGCCACTTCCTATGCTGAAACGCCACTCTAACATGTGATGGCATCCGGGCTGGTGTCTTTGAAAGGTGAGAGGAATAAGACGAGATCACGCTGGTCCTCAAGAAGAGGATTATTATCTTTCCAGCACAATCCAGAGATTGCTCCCTCTCATGTGAAGAAGTCCAAATCCCCCTGAAGATTCTGATCTGCTGTCATCCTGATTCCAGAATTCCAGATCCCCAATGGGGAGAATTAAATACTTGATTATAAGTCACACATCATCTGTACTTCTTGAGTAGTTTCAATACCGTAAGCAGCTAAGCACAGTGAACCACACCTACTCTCAGGAGGATGAGAGTGGGGGGTCCAAGTTTCAGGTCATGTTTTGGGCTACATACAGTAAGTTCTATGCCAGTATGGGCTACACAGACACTACCTTAAACAAACACGTAAATGAATAAGACACGCACGCACACACACCTCATTAGCTTTTCAGTTCCCCCAAAAGAGCACTAACACTTAAAAACCACTAGGAAGAGAGGAAGTCCCTGACTAAAACAGAAACAAAGAATACCAACTATTGCTCATGACATCAAAACGCAGCGTGGAGACTTACAAATGACCAAAAGTCCTGACATTAGAAACATGACCTTCAGAGATGTATGAGGAGATGCAGGGCCTCTGAGTCAAGGCCAGAATGGTGTTTTAAAAAATATATATAGAGAGGGCAGAAAACAGCACATACTCCTATTTGCTGCAGACTACCAAAACTATGAGAAAGTAAAACTCAGTAGGGGCTGAGACTACAGTTGAGAAAATCACCCCAAGAGTAAAACAGAGGGAAATTAAGAGAATAAAAAAAAAACTGGAAAACAAAACAAGAAAATACAGCATGGAGTAATTCATAGAGAAATAGGGAAGCAAAGAAAAACAAGAAACTGAGCACCACATTCCTCCCTCCTCATGATCTTTTAGGTGCTGCTGTTTGAGGAGGAAGAACAGAGAAGCTAACCGGAGTGGCGGGTCAATGATCTAAAGGCCTCAGGTAGACTGAGGCACTCTGGACAGGAAGGCGAGGGACTGCTAATACCTGTGGGAGCTTCTGACCAGATCAGAAGATCCCCATACCAAACCTGCTGCTATCTGCCACTTCCAGACTGCAGGGGACCTGCCCTGCAGATAAAACTCTTCCAAAGTCCCCCCTTTTCTGTCCCATAAGATCCCCAGACCCCATGCCATGTGTGCACAGTCTCACTTATACATAGGAGACTGCGGCCCTCCAACCATTCTGATTAAAGAACACTCCTGCCTCTGGAGGAGCCCATCTTTCCTTCAGCCTCTATCAATCTATATCTAACAAGGAGCACATGTGCATGTGTGTCTCACTTGTCTGCCTGTTTAAAGTGGTGTCTTGTGTGGCCTGTACTGGCTCTTCTTACTGTATATAGCCCAACTGGCCTCAAACTCAGACTCCTCCATCTCATCCTCCCGAGTGCTAGGACTGCTGGTGTGGGTCACCACTCTTGGCTTCTTAAAACATTCAAGTTTTAAGTGTAACTTACAGATGGCTTAAAACCAACCGATATTTAATTCTTCTAGTTCTTGGGTCTGGAAATTTGAAACCAGGGTGGCAATCAAAATACACAAGCCACACGGAGACTTTATGAAGTTTTAGCACATCAGAAATAAAAATGGGATCATAAAGCTCCCAGAAACAAAGTGGTAACACACAAAAAAAAGACTGCTGGGTTCATATTTTTTTCTTTCATGTGTTTTGCCTGCATGTGTGCTACAAGCATGCAGTGCCCACAGATGCTAGAAAAGAGGGAGCAACCCTCTGGAACCTTGGGGTAACGTTAACTGAAAGACCTGTGTAAGAAAAGAACTTTAAGTCTTTGAAGAAAAGACAACACAAAATGAAAAGATCTCACATGCTCTTAGATAGGTAAGATTAATTTAATAAAAATGGCAATCTTACCAAAAGCAATTTACAGATTCAATGCAATTGCCATCAAAATCCCAACAAAGTTCTTCACAGACCTCAAAAGAGCAGCACTCAACTTCAAATGAAAAAACAAAAAACCCAGGATAGCTAAAACAATCCTGTACAAGAAAAAAATTCAAGAGGCATCACCTTCCCTGACTTCAAACTCTACTATAGAGCTATAGTAATGAAAACAGCTTGGTATTGGCATAAAAACAGACAAGTGAACCAATGGAATCGAATTGAAGACCTTGATATTAATCCACACACCTATGAATACTTGATTTTTGACAAAGAACATAAAATTATACAATGAAAAAAAAGGAAAGCAATTTAACTAATGGTGCTGGCATAACTAGATGGCATCATGTAGAAGACTGCAAATAGATCCATATCTGTCCCCATGCACAGAACATGCATTTCCAGATGGATCAAAGACCTCAACACAAATCTGACCACACTGAACCTGACAGAAGAGAAAATGGGAAGTAGCCTTCAATGCATGGGCACAGGAGACCACGTCCTAAATATAACTCCAGTAGCACAGACATTGAGAACAACAATTAAGAAATGGGACCTCCTGAAACTGAGGAGCTATTATAACAAAATGACAGCCTACAGAATGGGAAAAGATCTTCACCAACCCCACATCGGATAGAGGACTGATCTCCAAAATATATAAAGACCTCAAGAAACTAGACATTAAAATACCAAATAATCCAATTTAAAAATGGGGTACAGATCTAAATAGAGACTTCTCAACAGAAGAATCTCAAATTGCTGAGAGATACTTAATGAACAGCTCAACATCCTTAGTCAGCAGGGAAATGCAAATCAAAATGACTCTGAGATACCATCTTACATTAGTCAGTATGGCTAAGATCAAAAATACCGATTGTAGCTTCTGCTGGAGAGGATGTGGAGTAAGGGGAACACTCCTCCATTGCTAGTGGGAATGCAAACTGATACAGCCACTTTGGAAATCAGTATAGCAGTTTCTCAGAAAATGGGGAATCAATCTACCTCAAGACCTAGCAATACCACTCTTGGAGTTATAAATGGTTGTGAACCACCATGCCAGTGTTGGGGAACCAAATCTGAGCCCTCTATAAGAGCAACAAATGCTCTTACCATTGCACTGAAGCTCTCAGGTTGCAAGATTCAAAGGCAGCATTGAAACGGACTGGGGTAAGAAGTTTATTAGAAGAGTTATACACTGTGGACAGACAAACAACAACACAGGAGATACTCCAAGGAGGAATCACGCCCACACAGAAGAGTCAGAGTCCTTCCTGACAGGTCTCTGAGGAAGGATGTAGGTTTCACTACAAGTCTCCACCCAGGCTCTCATATTCCCTTATCAAGTGGCAGGAAAGAGGGTGAGCAAAGAGATAAGTGGTCACTAAGAACCATACGTGGCTGTTGACCACAGCCTCTCTGAGCACTGATGATTTGTTCTCAACAAAGCAGTGTTAAAAGTATTAGCTTAGAGTTTATTCAGTTAAAACCCTTGAGAATTAATGTTTCTCAGCTACTTAAAGGAAAGGATGCTGTTATCTTTGTCGGGCAGTTCCTGTCTGTATGAACAGTAACAATCAGTAACGTTGCAGCATTACTGTTAGGGGAGAAGCATCACCGTACAGGCTAAGAGCACATTCTACAGAATGAAGGGGCTTTCTGAAGGAAACAGAATCTGGGCATTGCAGAAGAGATGTCAGCAGGACTTGAGAGTTAACAGAGAGGAAAGGTGACCAAAATGCAAACCAGAGAGCTTTTCAGAGAGCAAGTGGTGAGCAGAGATCTTTTTGGGTTCAGGTACTGAGTTCAGGTACTGGCGAAAGCCAGTGTGGGTGAGACTGGACACCAAGGGGTGAGAGCTTGAAGGTACCGGAGACCAAGTTAAGGACTCTGGGGACCACTAAGTGGTTTGAAGTAGGGGGGCAATAAGAAGGCGTTCATAGTTTGCTATGTAAACACCAGTTAGTGTGTGGAAAATGGATTTCACAAAGAATAAATGTAGGGAGACCAGTTGGTGGGGAGGGAGGGAGGGAATGGTAATGGAGAGAAAAAGAGCCACAAGAAATTAAGGACCTAATGACAGACTTTGTGGGAAGGGTAAGGAAGAAGGATGTGTTAACTCAGGTTTTCTGAATAAAAACAGGATGGAAGATCTGTTATCCTCCTGACAGTAAGTACTTCATATGTGCAAGAAATACTGTAAAACCAGCTCCTGGCCTGACCCTGTCTACTGTTCTAAATTTACTGTAAAACTATAGTACTAATATCTATCAATTTTTGTTTTTTGGCTTGTATTTCCAGTCAGTTCCTTTGATAACTGCTCTTAGCTTTCTATCATAAATCTGGTAAGTCATAACCTGTCATCATTAACTAATTTAATAAAAATGAGAAAAAAGGACAGAGTCACTGCTGAGACCTTCAGCAGCCACTGATAACCTTTTTAGGTCAGCAATGGTCCTTCCAACAAAACAAGAGAAAACTAACTGGCAGCAGCAGAAGCAACAGACTCTGACTTCCCCCATCATACCTGAAGTCTACTGTGCTATTTGATCCATGTACTAACTTATTAATAGTGCCTACAGCAACAGAACTTCATTCTCCCTATCAAACTGGAGTCCACCATGCCATTTGATCTGTGTATTAGTTTATTAGTGGAGCCTACAGCAATAGACTATGCCAAATGGTTTGTGTGATACTCAGTTTTTTAATCAAAAGCATTTACTAAACTTTTGCTCTCTGCCAGGAACAGGATTACCATGACCATGCCAACTTGAGAGTCGAGAAGACTCGGACTGAACAGTGACGTCACAGTTGCCAGTCACACACCTGGTATAGGGGAGCATTACAAAATGAACCAGAGCTAAACACTAACAACTACCAAATAGTCTGTTAAACCCTGAGTTTTATTCTTTATAGGTAAATATTAAATTTAAGAGTGATAAATTTGGTGTAAAATCGTGCTAGCCCTTCCACTCTGCATTTCGAAGTCTCGCTCTAGGATTTAGGAGCATGCACATGCATGCAAACCCCCATAAGGGGAGTTTACACATTAGTTTCTCTCTTCCCTTTACCAAACAACTTTTCAGTATTTTCTTAAAGCTCCTTTCTGATTTTTATATTTTTATAGCATCTTGCTATAGTTTGATTAAAGGTGTTTCCAACCCTCCTCAGAACTCCATGTTCTCTGCTTCCTGGCTTGCTCCTCATGGCTTGCTCAGATTGCTTTCTAATAGAACCAGGCCCACCAGCCCAGGGAGAGCCCTGCTCACAATAAACTGGGCACTCACACATCCATCACTAATTAAGAAAATGTCATATAGGCTTGACTACAGCCCCATTTTATGAAGACATTTTCTTAGTTGAAGTTCCCTCCTCTTAGATGACTTGTTTGTATCAAGCTGATAAGGCTAGCGAGCATGCCTATTGTTTTAGGATTCAGCATGTGACTGATGAGTTGTACTGCTAGTGAAATCTTAGGGCCTGGCTTTTCATGCACCGTGGACACTGCAAAGGCTACTGGTTTCAAGAGCAGGAAATCAGCTTTGTATGCAGAGTTTTTTCCAAAAACACCCGACAAACTTCTTCATGATAGAAGACATCAAAGTATTCCTTAAGCAATAACACGCCTAAGAGTGTCCATTCACCTTTAAGTTTCTGTAGGTCCTCCTTCAGATCTGGCCCCGCAAGCATGAAGATACTTTCTGACACGGGATTCTTATCTGTGAGGCTTTCATTGCTGGTATTCACAATGGCTGTACAGTTCAGCAATGCCACGTCTCCTTTCCTGTGGAACCAATAGACAAAAAGTAGTTGTGGGAAAAAGGAGGGAGATAACTGGCCTAGGTTCTAATTTCTCCAAAACCTATCTCTGCAATATTGGCTTTGCTAATTCCCAAGTCAAGAAATAGAAAAAAAGTAGAAACAGGAGAAAATGCTTGGCTCACAATTAATCTGGCACCTGTGAGCTTTACTGAAACTGCCCCAACTCAGAATTCACAAAGCCATCACACCATACTTTTGTCCCTTGCCATATTTCCTTAATTGAAACAGAATATTTGCACAGCTGAAAGTAGTTGCTTTAAAAAGTTTAGAAACAGCATCAGTCACAATAGCCAAAAGAATAGCCAAAACACAATAGCCAAAACACAATAGCCAAAACAACTTAACTGTCCATCAACTAGTGAGCTGATAATGTGCTCTTAGTGTGAACACACGAAGTACTGCTGAGCCATAAAAGAAAAGCAGTCCTTTGCACTAGAGTGAAAACATTATACTAAGTCCAAAAATCTCACTGTAGAAATTTCATGTATACGAAATGTCCAACACAGGCAAACCAATGAGATTAATTCTGAAGAAGATGGGACTATCACTGTCTTAACTGTGGGGAGGGTTTCACGGTTGCATGCACATAGTAACATTTAAGTTGTACATTTTAATTCTGTTTACTGTATGATAATTACACCTCAACAAGGCTGTATGTATAAAAGCAGTATTTCAATAGGGCTAAGACTTAAATAAAAAAGAACTTTAGAGGAAAATAATGAGGATTCATACACAGTAAGATATAATGAAAAACTTACCAAAGAACCACTTTTCCATTAATGTCCCGATTATAAAGAAAAGGCGATCTGATGGGGTCCTCCTGGAATGTCTCAGCTGTGCTGTCATAGGAGTTTAATTCATCTTTATACGAGTCACCCCAACTTAGCAGGGTGTCCACATCCACAAACTGGGAAGGTGCACCCAAGGGATCCATGGAATGGGAACTTCAGCTTGTATCTCAAACTCCTCAGCAATTCAGCAATCCCTGGAGACTTTAACTAAAAAGAGAAGAAATCATTTTAAAACAAAAGCAAAAATGTTACTCACAAATATTACTTTAATTCTACTAAGCCAACAAAGCAAACTCTGCTGTGGAATGGAATGAACCAAGAGTACACTATGTGACCACAGTCACTGCAAGGGTCGATTAAAACAAGGACAATCAAAAACTCCTAAAACTGGGAATAAGGAGGGATTATATAAGCATAAATTCCTTTCAATAACTGCAGCCCTTGAGATCAAAACCATTGCAAAAATCACACCAGTTCTATTTTGCAGAAAGGATTACTCATTCAACATTCTCTGAATACCCACTATTGCAAAATAAGTAAATAAAATGCTCTATGACATGCTATAAGATATAAATTGATTATATACATATATATAAATTAAATAATTCCATTTGATAATATGAGTATAAGTCAGAAAAACTGAATGAGACAAGGAAGTCACTACACGTTAAGTAGTAAGAGCTAATAAAGGTAAGGAATAAAAGAAGATAAATGAGGCTTGGATTTAAGAGACAGCATATGGGAGCTAGAAAGATGGCTCAGCAATTATGAGTGTATACTGCTCTTGAAGAGGATCTGAGTTTGCTTCTTAGCTCCCATGTTAGGAAGCCCACACCACTTATAACTCCAGTCCTAGGGTATATGATGCCCTCTTCCGGTACCTGCATTCATATGCACAGACCACACATAGACAAACACATATATACCTAACTAAAAATAAAATAAAATGTTTTTAAAAACGAAGTAACATACAGAGGAAAAATGAACAGGATCTAGCCAAACACAAGATAAGATATATGGGACTGCCCATGGGAGAGGAAGAGGAAGGTTATAGGAAGGCATACAGCATCTAGAGCGGGACGTGGTCATGGAAATCACCAGAGAAAGAGATGCTCAACTTACCACTGAGTCCTATGACTGTTTCAGTGAACGGTTGGTTCATTCATCCACTCTAATTTTGTAAGTACTTGGTGTATGTTAGGCACTGTTCTAGGTCCTGGGAACACTGGTAACAGCGCACTCTACCTTAGGGAGCCCATGTGTCCCCAGAGAAGAAAGGGGGTGATAACAGTGTAAATGGTCTGTGCATTACAGAGAAGGTGACACGTGAAGAACAAGTTAAATTGAGAAAGCAAAGAAGGGAAACAGCCAGTGCAACGACCAAAGGGCAAGAAGGAGTGGGCTGCAGTCCAAGAGGAGCCAGGAAGTCACTCTGGCTGGAGAATCTAATAGGTAATGAATTAGATGGTGGAGTTGGTGCAGAGGAAGGCTAGATGATGCAGTTTCAAGTCATGCTAAAATCCTTAGCTCTTACTCTAAAGATGAGGAAGCCACTAGAGGGTCTTGACCATCACAACTAAATCCAATGTTTGGAAGACAACTCTAGTTAGGGAGAGTAAGGAGGACAAGAGCAGCAGGAACTTAGGAGAGCGTGGCCACGGAAAACGTCAGATCTGAGATATAACTGACAGGTAGAACCAAAGGACTTTCATAGAAATACAGAGGGTGAGGAAGCACATGAGTCAGACAATGGCTAGACTGCTTGCTTGGCAACTGAGTAGGACAGCAGGGCTACTTATAGAAAAGCAAGGTTGGAGTTAAGCTGGAGGGTGAAGGAAAAACGACTTTCCCTTCCCATATGGCTTTTCAAATGTGCTGATTCAAAATGCTAATTACCTGGCCATGTGCTTATTGTCAAACTGACAACTGGAAGCTTGAAGCTAGAGCTCAGAGCAGAGGTTCAGCTAAGAGATCTAGAAGTCTCAGCTTGCGCAGTGTTGAAAGCTACAGGAACTAGGTAAGACTGCCTGCAGAGCAAATGCAAACAGGGAAAAAGAGCTCCCAGGACTGAGTCCTACAGAAAAATGTGTACTAAGAAAGACCATATTGGAGAGAGAAGGCTGGTAAGAAGAAAGGAAGCCCTTCAAAGGTGGTAGTGGAAGACCAATAGAAGATGGTATCCCGTGGGTGCTTCAGAAAACAGTCAGAGCAGATGCTACCAAAGGACCAAGGCTAAGTGTGCTCAAAAAAGTGAACAGACAGATGAAGACTGAGGAAATTCAATCTGGGAACTAGTTTTTAAACAGCTTCTTGATATGATATCAACATTAATTGTCACATTCAGGGAGAACACACATGCTCTTCCAAAACTAATTTATTGGTGTCTCTTGGTGAAAGGCACAGATACTAAGTAGAAGCATGGATCTACCAGATACACTAATTCTTTTACATACACTGTTAGGAAAAAGTGTGGCCATTCACAGCAGTTAAAAAAAGATCTTGTAGATTATACAATGATAATTTGTCTTAGTGTTCAATATTTACACTAAATACTTCTTTAAAACTGTTTTTTCTAGATGTTTTACTTAGTTTACAACCAGCCTTTAAACCTGGAGGCAAACCTAACTTTGCCCTATGTTTATAAGTGTCAGATTTACTCGAGGCAAACTGAACAGTGGACAAGTACCACTCACTCAATGTAATGTCTATCTGGAGAAATTCTTGATTGCAAAAAAACATGCTGACACATGCTCACAGTTCTTAGCCATAGGACAGAGATAGAAAGAGAGAGAAAATTCTTATGTTATGTTATGGAACACATAAACAGCTTCAAGACTGCAAACTTGCATGTCAACTTTCAGAATGAAATTGCTTTGTAAACTTCTTTTTCTGACTCTAACACCTGCCTCTAGAAGATTTGAAAATCAACAAAATGTTAAATGATCAAGAAAACAAATCTCAACTTTTGTGTAGCCTCCTTTACTCCTGTGACAGAGGTAAAACCATATTGTACGCATAGCTTTGAACCTAGCTTCTCTTAACTACTGTCAGGTGACAAAATTACACAGTGCAACAGCACAAGGTGGCATAATGTAAGTCATGAGCCCCATGTGTCAAGGCCTAAGTTCGGGTTCCTGACTCACCATCTGTGAGCTGTGATCTTTGGGGTAAAGCTAGAGTTTCTATCGAAGCAGCCGTGATTAATCCAGGCTCACTGTGAAGACTAAACGTTCAGAAACTACAAGGACCAGACGCAAAGCCAGGCTCAGCGAATGACCTCTTAAGATGTCCTCAGGGCCAATGTAACCACAGTCAGGATGAAGTCATATTTCCTCCTGCATCAAAGACTCAAAGTACTCACTGTCGAATCACCATGCAAGATAAAAGCTGGGTGCTGAACTAAGTTACAGACATACAGATCTTGGTCATGGTTTTTCTTGCCATGTCTTGTTAATCCCTGAAAAGCCCAACATCTGTTCCTATGCCACTATGGCACGGAAGGCACACAACCTTGTAAGGCAAGCAATCTTGACTGCTCCACCAACACTACTTTTTTATGCATTCCTATCATTTCTCCAAGTGATTCCTAACAGCACCTGCAGAGAGAATCTCTACAGTCCTTCAGTGACAATTGCCTTTGGTACTCATACTGTGTGGTTTCCTCCTGGTCTCGTAGGTTAACCTACGAGACCAAGAAGATAGCACAAAGTGATGGTGGGGCATTTTCCCTTCCAAAGATAACTAGAAAAGGCACTGTGGCCACACCCTCCCCCCCCACCCCCCATTGGCCTCTGAAGGTGTTAGGCACCAGCTGCAGGAGTTGTTGAGGGTCTCTGCCTAAAGCTAACACCATGCCCAGTCTTTTGAATAAATCACTGTGGAAGTGTAGATCCTCTGGCCTTAGCTGGCCTTAAAACCGCTTCAGTCACAACTGGTGTTTTCACAGCAACCTCATGAGAGATGCTGAATCAGAACTTCACAACAATGCGCCAATGCTACTCCTGAATTCCTGCCTTGGAAAACCTGTGAGAAAATAAACATTCCTTGGTCTATTATGTTCCAGGTATTCATTCATTTATTCATTCATTCATTCAAGAAGGTTGGACACTAAATGTCTAGTGGAAGAGACAAAGCCACAAAAACCACACAAATACACAATCACAGAAACAGTGCAATAAGTGTGCTACGACAAATGGGCTGCAGGGAGAGAGCAGTTTAGGTGAGAAAAGCAGAGACTGTCCCCTTCAGAAAGTAGCAGTAAGCACGAAAATCTGCAGGAGAGTTTGACACAGAGGTCAAAGTAATTCTGAGAGCTGTACGTGAGAGTTTGGGGCATGAACAGATTCCCAGTGAATGTGACAGGAACAGAGGGCATGTTGCAAATACGCTCTCCAAGCCTTATGACACTCCCATGCAGCAGGTGCTAAGACTCTTGTTTCAAACTCAGTGGCACAGTACCAGTCCAAAGACATGTAACTATCATGTGGACGCCGAGGCCACACGCAGGGCATGCTGGGCCCGAGACCCATGTCACTCTCTCTGCTCTCTTCCCTTCCTGCTGTTCAAACACTAACTGCTCCCCAGTTCCAAGTCCATCTTTGTGCAAACTTTTCCAGCTTCTGAATGATCTCAGGGTATATTCTATATGCCAAAAGGGCTCAATTTAAGCACTTTACCAGCTGCTCTTCTCAAGAAGAACATCAATTCTCCATTAACATCTTCCTCTCTCCCCACCAGCTCCTCCTGTTCTGAAAATTTGTCCTCCCTCATTTCTTCTTCAGAACATAGATACATCTTTTCAGTGGAACTGGGGTTGAACCTAGGGCCTCAGGCATGCTGGGAAAACACAATCACTGAGCTATATCTCCAGCCCTCTTTTTACTCTCTGAGATGGAGCACCCTAAGTTGCCCAGCCTTGCCTGGCTCACTCGAGCTCACACAGGCCTCAAAACCAAAAGCTCCTGCCTTAGCCTTCTGTGTAGCTGGGACTTCAGGTCTGTGCCTCTGGGCCTGGCTCTCCTCACCACTTCACACTGTGTGAGTGTGTATGGTGTATGTATGCATGGACATGTGTAAGTATGGGAATGGAGGTTAGAGGTCAACAGTAGGCGTCAATTGTCCGTTCAACTCATTTTTTGAGACAGGATCTCTCACTGAGTCTAGTACTAAGTGATTCAGCCACTAAACTCCAAGGATCCTCCTGTTTCTTCATTCCAGAACTAAAATTACAGGTGCATGCCACAGCTTTCTACATAGGTGCTGGGGATCCAAACCTAGTCCTTACACTTGAGTGGCAGGGCTAAGAATGAGACATTGCTCCAGTCCCCACTTCACTTCTGAGTATTTGTTGCAGAGTTCTGCTTTCTCTTTGTTTACTCAGCCTTTTGCAATTTTCCTTCAGCTCAGCAATGATTAAAGCTCTGATTCCAAGGTCGACAGAAATGTCTTAAGTTTACCATCTCCTTCCTCCTTGAAATCCTATTATTGTCTTTGCTGCGCACTCTGGGAGCTCTCCCATACATTCAATCATCTCCAGTCAGTAGCTGGTTGGGTCTTTCCAGCTACCAGAGCCATTGCGTCCCATAAGACAAGTGTTAAATGATAACTAATGTTCACAGCTACTGTAGGGCAGGAGTTAGAACATTTCCTGGAAAGTGTCCTAGCGGTTAAGTATGGTTGAATTCTTTTGCAGCCCCATCTCAACCTCCACAGAGCAACTGATTTTTCTCATTAGAAGGAGATTTAACTCCTAACTGTCACCAACATAAATGTATGGCCATGCTTGTGTCCCCTTCCCCTCACTCGAGAAAGTAAGTGGAGCAGAAACATAAACCCTAAAGGACAGGAGCTCCTAAGAGACCTGAGGTCAGAGGTCCCTTTGAAAGTAACAAGAGGGAAACCCTGCTTGCCCCACATAGTGTGTGTGAGAGAGCTCATACAAGTACATCTGCAAGGATTTCCAGACCTTGGATTAAGATTTCTAGGGACAGATTGAAAACAAGAAGGGAACATGGCCACGATGAGAAGGGGAAACAGGGCAGAGAGGTAACTACAGTAACCAATAACCTTAGCCAGAATTTGGATAACATTAAAGGGAAAAATACTTCCCACTGGAAATCAACTGGTCAGTTCTGAACTTTGAACAAGCTTGCAAGCAAACACTACAGTTTAGTAAAAACAGACTCCCGAGGCATATTCTCATATCGAAAAATTGCTAAATTTCAGAACAGATCTATGTATTACCAAATATTTTCTTTCTATATTAGTTTAAGAGAAAGGACCCCGAAACAAAGAGAGGCTACTAAACATTCTTTGTAAATCAAAGAGTACAATACGAACAGTTTTTTGTAGCTTATTTCCTCCCTCATCCTGTCATCATTAGTTTAAAAAGAAACTTCTAAATAATGATTTACAGTAAAAATTGAATTGCTCAGAGAGACCAGATTGTACTGTTTCAAGATTGGATAGCAATAGGCAAGGACACTTTGGATCACTGTCTCAAAACCTAATTTTCAAACAGGTAAAAAGAATTTTATCAAGCTAGGAGTGGTAGCCCACGGCCTTAATCTACCACTCAAGAGGCAGAGACAGGTGGATATCTGGGAGTTTGAGGTCAGCCTAGCTTACACACATAGTTCGAGGGCAGCCAGAACTATGTAGAGAGATAGTATAATTTCAAAAAGGAAAGTGAGACTCTCTAAGATGACAAGCTGCCTGTTGACTGTTCATGTAAAAAAGACAGGTCTGGAAAGTACATAGAGTTGGACCATGCATCTGACCTCTAATAATTAAGCAGTTTGTTGCTTTTGATTAATTATAGGTTTATCATTCTTTATGGCTTTGTATTTCAATATTTAAAAGTTTAGGATATATAAGGAAGAAAGTACAAACCACACCCACCTGTATGCCAAATCAGTTATACTTGAGTTATTTTATGCAAATGGAAGCTGCTTAGATGGAAAAGTGTCAGTTCTCAAATATATTAACAATAAACATATTATAACAAAAAAGACTTCTAAGCTTCATCAGTGGGCCCAGGTAAATTTTAACATCATCAATCAAAGCCACTCAAAGCACGCATGCCAATGTTGAATTAGCAGAGTCACCTGCATTAAACAGACCCAAGCAAGCCTCCCTTTGTTAGTCTTCATCTGAATTTTAAATAAGAACGTAAGCCGGTTGGTGGTGGAGCACGCCTTTAATCCCAGCACTTGGGAGGCAGAGGCAGGCAGACTTCTGTGAGTTCGAGGCCAGCCTGGTCCACAAAAGCTAGTTCCAGGACAGGCTCTAAAACTATAGTGAAACCCTGTCTGAGGGGGGTGGGGTGGGGTGGGGTGAGGGAAGAGAAAGTAAGATTCTGTCCTTGACGTCCTTGGAGTAGTGAATAAGAAAAGGCAAGATTAAGATGTGCTATCTTAGCCTGCCTGGAGGTGCACACACCTTTAATTCCAGCACTAGGTAGGCAGAGGCAGGCAGCTCTCTGAGAGTTCTGGGACAGTCAGGGCTACGTGGTAAGAACCTGTCTCAAAGGGGTGGGGTGGGGGGAGAGGGTGTGCTGTCTTAACATTCCACATCTAGGCTAGGCTGCCTTCTGAGTGCTAGGATTAAAGTTATGACCCAAACCTGTCTTTGATCCCGTGATTAAAGATGACAGCATCAGCTGGCAATGTCTAACGGTTGGACTTGCCTGAAAGATTCTATACTATTTTTCCACCAAAGCATACATTTCCCCACCTCTAACAAGGTAATGCAGGAGGTAAGGAACATACACATCTATCCAAATGCTCCTCCCCTGCTTGAAATAAATCTATCGCCACAATTTCTTGCCTTCTCTTTCATCTAACCAACAAAAGGTATTCTTGTTTCAAAACACCCATGTTGCTACAATCACCAAGCATGTGTCTCCACCAAAGTAATTTTCTTAAATACAGAAGATGAGCTAAACATGTTTTAAAACATAAAGAAAACTATACCTGGTGAACAATCCCTAAAAATTAAGCAGGAAGATAAATCTACCTGTCAACTACATTTGTCTACCTATCTAATTTCTAGGCTGGCTACAGAGGGCTTCCTCAATAAGTGACGGAAGGAGATACTTTTTTGTTTAGTTATATACCAGCTTCAGTTCTATATAGACAGCCACAGACATCAGAGCTCATTCTAGAACTTCTAGACAGTCCAAGGATAGAAAAGGGCAGAAGTCAAAGAGAGAAAAGCTAATTCCCTCTTTTTAACAGAGCGGCTCAGTCTCCGTCTGCAATCAAGGACGGGCCAGCCCAGGGTCACTTCCCTCTCCAGTGGCCTGAGAGCGGAAACACAAAGCCAGGTCAATGTCACTCCAGGGACTGCAGGGTCCCTGGACAACTCAGCATCCTGGGCTCGGCGTCTGTCCACAACCGACGCAATCTACAGGGCTGGCTAGACTCGACTTGAGCTGCCACCCACAGGGCTATCCGCCCCACCGCGTTTCGGCATCCCGAGATATGAGCCTTCAGAGCTCCACGCCCAAACCTGCCCTGGGTGCGAGCCCCAAAGCCCAAGCCCACAGGCCAGCCTGATGCTTCCCAGCCGGCACCCGGCCGTGCCACCCTCCCCTCCCGGTTTCGCCCGCCTCTCACGGAGCTCGGGCGGGCCCATCCGGGCGGCGGTCCGCAGCTCAGCTCCGTCGCAGAAGGCGGGCAGGTGACATGTGCACACAAGGAGTGCCAGAGGCCGAAGCTGAAGGGAGTTGGGTCTCCAGAAGCCGGGGTGACTAGCTTCAGCTTTCTGACAGCAAAGGCACCCGCTTCCTCTCCGCCACGCCGCCCAATCACAGCGTTCCGCCGTCACTTCCGCCCTAGAAGGTAAGGGGAACGCCGGGCGGAAAAAACTCCCAACCGGACCGGAAGGGGCGGGTCCGAGGGCGGTGCTGCCTGCTGGAGCCTCGTGGAGGTGAGTGTTGCTGGCTGCTTGGAGACTGCGGGGAGAGATTCCCTGCGTTTTGGTGCTCTAGATGGGCGGACGCCGTGGAGGACTCCGTGCTGTGGTCACCAGGGAGGCCCGGAGGAGTCCTGTGTCCGCGGCCGTTTGCACCACAGCACCCGGAGTCCGCACTACTGCTCCCGGGCCGGCGAGTGCGAGGCCGCCGGAACTTTCCGACTTTCCTGGGATTTGAGGGGTGGGTGGTGATGTGCAATAGGAAAGTAGGCAAGGGAATAATTTGAGAATGACAAGGTCGGAGGAAGGGAAACAAGAGAAGTTATTTGAAAAATAAGCAGCTGGTTAAAGTAACTGGCTCCCTTTGGATCCCTGCATTTGGCAGCTTAGCCCTTTATAGCCCTGGGCGGTGCATTTGAAAAGGGTAAGTTGAGGGTTTCTGTGACTTCGAATGAAAAACACGGAAGTGGAAGTGCTAGGTAGCAAACTGTTGCAGCAACTCAGTGGTGACAAGCTGGGAATGAAAGTGCTGCGCAGAGAAAAACGGATGCTCTTCAGGGAAGCAGTCAAAGGAGATGACAGACATAGAGACGTATTTAGCGTGGTGATTAGCAGCAGAAAATATGGAGTTAGGTTGGCTATAGTGGCGCATGGCTTTGGTGCTTTCTGGTTGATTTTTGAGCTACTTGTTCAGCATCCTTGTCTGTAAAACGGAAAAGAATAATTGTCTCTTCTGTTATTAAAGAGAATTTTTGTGACACATTTTCAATGTATAGACACTCTTACTGTGTTGCTTCTGCCAATGAAGTTACTGCATGTAGTTAAAGAACTGCATGTGTTATGCCCAGTAAGTCATTCTTACTGTACGTTAGAAGCTCTAAGCCTTGCCACTATGTTTTTTTTTTTTTTAAATAAATCAAAGGTTACTAGAAACTCTAAAACCTTGATAGCTGGGGAGATTGTTTTAAAGTAAAATGAGATGAGGGATTTAGGAAGTAAGGTAGTCATGTAAGGTACTCAAGAGGGGTGCTCTAGAGATGTTTGGAACTCTTCATGGACATAAACACATGGCTCTAGATATAGAGATGTGGGGGTCCCCGAGCCCCAGCGTCATGGACATAAACACATGGCTCTAGATATAGAGATGTGGGGGTCCCCGAGCCCCAGCGTGCTGTATGCATTCTCCACTGATAATACTCCAGAAGGGTATCTAACTTCTGGAAGGGTATTTAACTGAGCAAGTTCAGTTAAACTGGAGGAATAAGAATAAATGGAGAATTGAATTTTTTTTTTTTGAGCTAGGGTGACAGAGTTATACATAGCCAAAGTTGTCCCTGGACTCCTTATGGAGCTGAGGGTGACCTTGAATTTCTCAAGTTGCATCCCAGTCTTCCCAGTGCTGAGATTAAAGGTGTACACTACCGCACGTGGCCCATTTAGCACTGGCAGTCGAACCCAGAAACTCTAGTATGCTAGACAAGCTGAGCTACCTTCTTAGCCCCTTCATTGGCTTAATCTCAATTCTCATGAGTAAAGAATGAAGCTGGATTTACGGTCATCTTTGATGCAACCATTCAGTCTCGGTGGAACGGTTTCAGTGTCAGAATTTTGATAGTGGTTGACAGGGCAAAAGAGATTTGTGTGGCTGCCGTGAAGCTTTCGTGTTACATGTTCGTGAGGTGATTGTGACAGTGGAAACTCAGTGTAAACAGAGGAAGGTGCTGCCACTCTCGTGGGTCTGGGGCATCTGAAGTCCTTGACATGACTGTGTTCATTTCAACAGGCCTCATTCACCCAGGGCTTCCTCTGTTCCACACACAGGGTCTTTCGGAATTTGGAGTTCATGGAGTCCAGCTAGGCTGACCCTGAGCTCCAGGGATCTGTATCTCCGCCTTCTGAGTGCTGGGATCATATACACATTTCTCTGTGCCTGGTTTTTTGTATGGTTACTAGAGATCATGCTTGTATAGCAAGTACTTTACCATGAACCAAGTTATTATATGCTTTTGACCACATGAGAAATGGTTTGTGTTTGTTAGCCTTCCAGAACCAATGTACTACAAAATCTGAATTTTGTTTATATTCACAGATTACCTTCCCAGTGGCTTCAGACGTCTTAACATGGGACTTACCAAACAGTATCTCAGATATGTGGCTAGTGCTGTCTTTGGCTTGATTGGCAGCCAAAAAGGTAACATTGTATTTGTGACACTTCGTGGGGAGAAAGGACGCTATGTGGCAGTGCCCGCCTGCGAACACGTTTTTATCTGGGACTTGAGGAAAGGCGAGAAGGTGAGTCAGAAATGAGTAAGTTGATACTGACTTTGGAGTGGAAGAGGCCTGACTGACCTGCCTGCATTAATTTGTGTGTGAGCTCTCAAGTGATCGTGTCCCTTTGCTTCTAGACAGCTAGCACCAAACTCTGCTGTGTTCTGAAAATCTCAGCCCAACAGCTTGCTTCTTAGCTGTCTGTCTGTGTTAATTTTCATAGGCCATTAGTTGTAGCTCTTAATCCTACTTTTGTTTATAAATTCTACTTTTCAAGTTCTGCTTGTGCTCACAGCCAGTCGTATAATATTAGGATTTCAAAAGGACTGGTACTCCACTGTGTGAGTGGAGTCTTCTTATATATGCTGATGAGATCCAGCAGTTGCAGAACTCTACTTTGACTGTGACTGGAGTTATTCCTTTTTGCCAAGCACATAGAGGTAGGTATTTGATTCATCCCTGTTAACTGTGTGACTCCCAGGAGGTGAAAGGATGGATAGATTAGGTAGGTAGGGAGATAGATAGATACTGTTGCTACCCAGGTAGGTAGGTAGGTAGATAGATAGATGGATAGATGGATAGGTAGACAGACACATAGATAGATAGATAGATAGATAGACAGACAGACAGACAGACAGACAGATACTTGTTGCTACCCAGAGCCTCTTGGAATGAAACCACTGGTACTGTAGTGCCATGAGGTTGTGTTAAAGCCAGGATGGGTTTATAGCCCTTTATGAAAATACATTAAAAGTTTGGTGGCTTATTTCATTGTCTGGATAGTTGGCATGTATCTACCAATGTCAAGCTTGAGAGTAAATGAATACCTTTTGAAGATCTCGTTGTCTCTGCTTGTAGATTTCGTCATTGTGCATCAGTGACTGTAAATCGTGGGTACTCACTGTGTTACTGAAATCATTCCCACGCTGGTGTCTTCATGCATGCCTCACTCCTCTGCATTGGTTTTTATGGTTTCAGATCCTTATCCTTCAGGGGCTTAAACAAGAAGTCACTTGCTTGTGTCCTTCCCCAGATGGGCTGCATCTGGCTGTTGGCTACGAGGATGGATCCATCCGAATCTTCAGCCTCCTCAGTGGTGAGGGAAACATAACCTTCAATGGACACAAAGCAGCTGTCACCAGCTTAAAGTATGATCAGCTAGGAGGCAGACTGGCTTCTGGGTCCAAGGTGAGCCTCGGAGACAGGTGTCACACTGTGTAGAAGCAGGTCATCACATCAGTTGCTCTGTGAACCTGAATTTTCAGTGTCCAAGCTAGTACACAGTTGGGAGAAATAGAGTGAGGAAGATGGGTTTGCATAGGGAGGGAGTATGCTTCTTATTTTCTGTTGTGTTCTCTTGGAAAAAAAAATGTCTGAATAATGAAAGAATAAGACAAAGGTCCTCTGGAACCCATCATATTATGGAAGAGCTACCCCAAACTATAAAACAGAGGACCGTGAAAGGAAAGATGGTAATAATTTGCCAGTGAATTCTGTAAAATTAGTATTATTCCTATGTTTTTAAAAGTTAATGAGTTAGAGTCAGGCATTCTGGTACTCATCTTTAATCCCGACAGTCAAAAGATAGGGGCACTTGCATCTCTGTGAGTTTGAAGCCAGTCAGCCAGGCTATGCCCTCCAGGGATACATAGTTGAGACCGACTCTCAAAGAAAAAGCATTGTTTCCCCAGCACAGAAGAAAGGTAAGTGAGCTGTTTGCAATTGATAGCTACTGTGAGAGGAAAATCAGCTTTCTTCAGTGTAATGACACTAGGTATATCAGCCACGTTTCAGGCAGGTCTGGTGCTTGGGTAGTTGGCCAACATAAACCACACTTTGTTTTTGTTGTTTATTGTTTTTGTTTTTTTAAGAAGGGGAAAAGAGCATGAAGTTGGGTGGCTGGGAAGGTTACAGGGAAGAATATGATTAAAATATATGAAAATCTCAAAAAACACACAGATTGATAGATTTGAAACATAAATTTAAGACATTAAATTTTTTACATTTTAAAAAAGTATGAAAAGAAAGGTGAAAGTATTTAATTAAAAAAGACTATCTTTTAGACTTAGTAGTAAACTAAGATATAAAATACAGCCTATAAGAGGTAACACCAATGAAAAAGACACGAGTGAACAGTTTTAAAGCGATGAAGGTGGCCATTATTTCCCACAAATCATGGGGAAAGTGAGCATCAGGGATTGAGATTTGGCCCAGTTGGTAGAATATTTGCCTAACATATAGCAGTCCCTGGCTTTGGTCTCTGGTATCGTGTAAACTTGTCATATGCCTGTAAACCTAACACTTGGGAGATAGAGGCTGAAGATCAGAAGTTCAGGGTCATCCTCAACTTCAGAGTAGAATCAAAGCCATCCTGGAATGCATCAGATCACATCTTAAAGAAACAAAAATATCATTAGTGTTCAGAAAAACAAATTAGAGCGGTTATGAAGACTAAGCATTCTTTACTGAAGGAAGGAAATTGGCTGTCATTTTCAGAAATGTGATAATACCCAGAGTACACAGATGGGAAGCTGGTCTTCTCATACATGTCCTTGGTAGTTGTATAGAGAGATTCAGTCTGAGGACTGTTTTAATGATGTGACTCTAAACTGTAAAAATAGCCATAGCCTTTAACC